CTTGAGTTAATCAGATATTGCACTTTGCTTTTTAACTGATCACAATCCTCTGTGAAATGACCAATTGTCCAGTATGATATTCACACTTAGCATATGGGTTGAATCCTTGTGGGTATGGCGGTTCCACCTTCTTCGGGGGGATAAGAGTCAACAATGATCTTTGGAAAAGTTGCGGCAGCAATTCAACATATGACACTGGGATTGGATCATACAAACTCTTCCTTTTTCGCTGGCGGGACCACCATTCTCTTCCATTTGTAAAGGTATAACATGATGCATGTGGAAAATAAGGTGTTTGAGGTTGGTTGAGGATCTCTGTTAATGAGGTTTCCTCTTCCATATCTTCGCTTGCAATATCACTTTGAATAACCTTGTTAGCGAAGCTTTTCTTGATCTTTCCGCTCCCGAAGCGATTCTCAATTCTCTCCCCTATTCTTATCAATTGACGGAAATCCGAATGAACATTTCCAATCATCCGATCAAAGAAGGGTGGCTGCAGGGTATTGATAAACATTGAATCACTTTCTTCATCAGATAATTTGGGCTTCATCTGAGCGGCCAACCCTGCCCATCTTTGGACATACTCCCTAAAGGTCTCATTACTCCTCTTGGACAACTGCTTGAGTAGCGTTATATCAAGATCTTGGTCAATGTTGTAGTTGTATTGTTTAAGGAAAGCATTACACAAATCCTTGAAACATTTGATATGAGAACGCTCGAGACGCGTGTACCAAGTGATGGCAGCTCCCGTAAGGCTCTCCTAGAAGACATGGATTAGAAAATTGTCATCCTCGATATAGGGAGTCATTTTCCTAGCATACATGGTGAGATGATCCTTAGGACAAGAAGTTCTTCGGTATTTCTCAAATTCTGGTATCTTGAACTTTGGTAGTAATACCACATTCGGGACCGATCGCAAGCTCGTGACGTCCTTCATACCATAGGAACTTGCCACATTCTCCCTCGCTAATAACATGGACTTTTATATCCTTAACAATTATTTATTAAAATACAATAATTAAAGCAAAATGTTTTATTTTTTTATTGTTGTGCCTGACAAGAGTTCATCTTGCTCCTACGTATCCCTAGGTGCAATAGGGAAATCAAGGCTACATAGTTCTGGTTTGAAAAATAATTAATTGGTTTGAGCAGTTTTAAAATATGTTGAAGTACTGAAATTCGTTTAAGTAATAAGGTAATTTTTATTTAAGACATTTTAGCATGCAATTAATAGTTTAGAGTCGGTGTTGGTCGCTCACCTTCTTCCCATTTTCAGAGAAGTCAGAGTCAACTCGAACTGTAACCTTACCATAAAAATTACATTAAAATTCGTTTAAGTAATTAGATAATTTTTATTTAAAACATTTTTAGCATGTAATTAATAGTTTAGAGTCGATATTGGTCGCTCACCTTCTTCTCATTTTCAGAGAAGTCAGAGTCAACTCGAACTGTAATCTTACTATAAAAATTCCATTAAAATTCGTTTAAGTAATAAGATAATTTTTATTTAAAATATTTTTTGATATATGGAATTAATAGTTAAAGACGGTGTTGGTCACTTACCTTCTTCCCATTTTCGGAGAAGTCAGAGTCGACTCGAACCATGACCTTACTATAAAAAATTCATTTAAAAAAATTCATTTATAATTATTATTTTTTAAGAACGCATTATGATTCCTATTAATATAATAAATATAGTTTTCAAAATTCTAATTCATCGCAAAAATAAAGGGGGTTAAAATCATTAACTTAAATCACGAGATGATTATTTATACAACTATAACAATAAATAAGAAAGCTTGGTAAATAAACATAAGGTTGATTAGTTTATAACACTCCTTATGACCTACGTTTCATATTCTGATTAGAGGTTGATTAGTCTTTAATTGGTATTACGAGTGATGTCATATGATGAACCACGTGTTTATGCTTATGCTTACATGAATAGGATAAACATCTTACCAAGTCTCTTACCTTCTAAATATTAACCTTTGATTTCTGACCAACCTTGGTTTTTTGCCTGGGATCCTCCTTTCTTGATATCCTGTTGATCCTCCTTTTTTTGGGTGTTTTCTCTGGGTATATGTAGGCTTTTGTATGTTATGAATGATGTGTAGGAACTGTGTATGTTATGGTGTGTACGTTCTTATGGAATTGTGTGTGATAAAGGTATACGTTGTAGATAGCGAAAGTAAGAAGAGTGTTGAGAGCGCTACGTTGCTTTCTGTTCAGCTCTCCATTTGAACTAGTTGCCTGCCTTTTATAATGGTTGGGGTTCATGAGAACCCCTTGTATTTCTAATTAGTATTCTCATACTTATTGTCTATCTGATTAACCCCTTTTTACATCTATTATTTTGAATTACTAATCATGATTTTAATACTCCTCATTGCCTTATTTGTCTCTTTGAATCTGTAGTTGTCTTATTAAGACCACTATTTGATGTCATGCTTATAATTTTTTATTATCACTTTAATGGTAGTAATTATTGTTGTCTAATTAAGCTTAATTTATCAAGATTCTTAATCTGCATATCTTTGGTGCCATATCTTTTGGAATTATCTAGATTGATTAGTGATGATTTAGTGCCTTTATTTAGTGTTATTTTTCTGGAATCCTGGGATTTGATTTCTTTTCTTTTTTTGATTTCTTCTCATGATTTGATTTCTTTTTATTTTCAGGGATTGAGTGTTGATTTGCTTTAAGCGATACGATATGGGGATATATAACTTGGGATAATCTTCTCGTTAAGGCACCTAAAGAAATTATGGGGAATTTAGTTTCCTTTTTTTAAAAGCTGAATGTATTATGTCACCTTTTTAGTACCAAATATTATTTATTTAAAACATTGCTTTCAGAGAGTATAAATGGCAATCTGAATTGACAAAATTTCTTCATTATTTATTATTACTTTTTTGTGGAGGTATTATGGGCCGGACAAAATTGGGTGTTCACATAAAGAAATTAATTTAATTTATTATGATAAATTTTAGAGTTTGGTGTAAAATTACATTAAGGTTATTCTAACTTGATTATGGTAGAGTTAAAGAATCAATTTTAGAAGCTTTAGTAAAAAGTTCAACTACTACATTATTTGTGTGCGAAATAGTTTTATATTATTTAATTTTTTATAATGATAAAAAAGTAAAAATTACCTTGATAAGTGTTTGTTAGAACTTGAAGAATTTTTGGGTGTGAAATTGAAAAAATCTCACTAAGTTCCACATAGGAAGATTTTGAAAAATATTATCACAAGTCCCACATATGAGGATGCATGAATTTTGATAAAATCTCATACTATAAATAGAAGTATTATTCCTTCATATTTTCTTACACCAAGTTAAGTACGGTTATTGTCCTATCACATGTCTACTTATAGTTTTAGTTAATTACTTGTGATTTTTAAATATTAATTAAGTTTTTTTGTCTAAGGTTTAGATAATTTTTTTAGGTCCATGAGTTCTCACAATTCCCATGTAATAGATTATTAGAGGTCCCTCCATAGAAGTTTTGTCCATTTAGTTCTGTTTGGTTCTCCAATCACACTTAGAAAATTAGGTCGGCTAAATGGTGATATTATAATACTAAAAGTTTTTTGCGATAAAAGTGGTTGGTAATTTAGATTAAAAGTTTTTTGCGATAAAAGTGGTCGGTTATTTACACGTGCGATTTACTTCACAACATGCCCACTTTGCATATTCTGTCGCACCAAGTGAAAAGTTACATTTGACCCATGATAACCGGAGAGAAGTTGGGTCCTAACTTTGATATCATGTTAATATTTCATATTGACTATGAGAGAAGTTATCCAACAAGTTTTTAAATCACGCCTAAGAGAATAAGACAGACGATGTAGAATTTACTTCTCAACACTATAAGACTCCAATATATCAAGGTTGAAATATTTCTCAAGAAGCTTCCCATAGTTGGTGAGTGCTACATTTAGCTCCTTGTGTATACCTCCAAGTAGGCAAAGTGGAGCATTTCTAAGTAAAGTGGCCTTGAACTCATTGAGAAACTTAGAATACAATATGGGGTAGAGTTTGATGTCATAAATTATGTCCTAAATCATATCTTCCACTAATGAAAATATGTTATGTCAATTAAAAAATTAAATATTTATTATTCTTTTAATTTTTAATTTCAATATCATTGGTACGAGACATACTTTGGGACAACATATCATTGTCTCCTAAAATTATCAATACTTCCCCTAATGTAAGCATTGTTTCACTGTGAGAGGATTTGCATTGTTGATTTTATTTGTATCTCTAAGTAATATAAGTTAGAGGAAAATATGGATACGATCAAGGAATTGTTTGATTAAACTCACTTGGCCTAAACATATCCCAAATGACATTATTATCATTTGTTAGTCTCTGCTTAAATTGTTTGTTGATTGCAACCTTGAGCTAGTAAGGAAAGTTATTATCTAGCCCTAGTTCTAATAGGGTAAGAGAGGTAAGTGTTACAATTGTAATCAAGTTGGGGAGAGGAAAAAATAACGTATGAAAAAGTGAAAAAAATAATTATGATTCAAAAAGAAATATTCTATAAAAGAGTAAAATAAAAAGATGGGTGGTGAAACAAAAGTAACTTCTACAAGTAGAAGTGATAGGTGAAGTTAGAATTTGCTCTCTTAGCCTATTAGAACCTCTTTGTATCGAGAGAAATCATATCTTTTGTAGCTCAACCATATTACAACCCATGAAATGACTTTAGGATCCACATTCTATATCATTCTTGATTAATCATGAGATAATACGAAAATTGACTTTGTTGCTTGTTTAATGAATGTTTATGTCAAATATTTGAGAGTTCACACTTCCTGATTGTGAACACTCAATTTTGTCCTACTCTATTTAGTCATTCCCATATGTTAAAAAGACAAGGGGAAGACCTCACGTTACCAACTTTTTTGTAAGAAAAGTGAATGAGGAAAATTCGGTTTACCTTTGTTGTGAGTTAATAAGTGGATGAATAATTTTGGACTACCTTTTTCATGAGTTTATTCAAATGGCATTCAAAAAAGCAAGTACCATGACTATTAATCCTATTTCATACTGTTTATAAATCACCATAAGGCAAATTGGCTTCAACAACAAGGCTGCATAACTAAAAGATTCACGTTCATAACTTCTCTGCAATAATAATCATATTACGATAGCAATTGAAGCATTTCCTTATAGTAATCCATAATGCTGATAAACACGGTGTAATTAGATAAAGTAGAAAGGAAATTATGGCATTGGGTTGGCATTTAGCAAGGAGATATACTGCGAACTAGCTTGATACAACAACACCACACATACAATAAAACAGATATCCGCACTACTTTCGCCGCACCAAACAACTCAAAGCAAATCCAACTTGTGCATACTCATATTCTTTGCTCTTACTTGGGTTTTGAATAAAGCACTATCTTTTTTGATTCAGTAGCATCCTCTATGTTTGTGCTAATGTCCAAACTTTCACAAGGAATCCTACACAACCCCACAGTTAGTACAAAAGTTTGCATAGACAACTGTTTGTGGTGGTGGGGAACCACTAACAAAGGTCATCCTCTTCCACCTGAGAAAACATAGAGCAATACACATTAAGCCAGAGAACACATACAGATGCAAATGGGAAAATTGAAAAGATAGCAGTTAGCAAGTATCAACCAAAGTCAATGAGAACCATTAAGCAACATTAGTGGACAAACTTGAATGCAGTAGTCAGAAGGGCAAGGAGTCATGCGTGACAAACAACTAAAAGAAAGAGGGTATTATTTCCAATTACAGATTTAGCAGGAATAGCAGCAGTTATGTGCAGTCGTAGAGTTGAGTAACCAAAACCCTTTCAGTTACACACTCATAAGTAATGGACAGTTTTTAAAAAATGGAGCAATCAAAGTAAGGATAAGGTACAAGCTAGCAAGTTAATGACTCTAATTGCAATCATAACAGTCACCATAATTGATAGTAGTCTCTGAACAGTTGGCAACTGAAAGGATTTCACAGTAGAGTCCTAACTCTATAAGAAGACCAAGCTATAAATACATAAAAGGACATGTCCATGATTCGGGGAAATTAGTAGCAAAAGACATACAACCAGATATTTTTTACAGACATCCTGCATAATCACCACACTACATATACGCATATCACAGACACACACTCATAATCTTTTTTTCCAGAAAAAGCCTTATTACTTCTGTTTAGGATACGCAGATCCCTAACTCTTTAGATTGGCAATCCCATATATACCACACCTCCCAATTCCTACACACGAAAAAGCAAACGGACTCACCATATCTACCTATCACAGACATTGGCCATAGATAAAATCAAAGCAACCGAAAGGGGAGTTCCAGTCAGGTTAAAGTCGGATAAAAGTGTGGTTCGTGCATTCGAAAGGTAAATCACAGGTAAAGCAATCACACAGTCGCGTAAAAAACTTATACTGAAACATGTCCATGAATCATAAATCACCTTTTGTTTTGGTTTCAATTTGTTAACAAAGTAAAGAGGTAAAATAGAGGGTTGGGAGATCACCCTTACTCAAATCGGGGTTCTGTGTAGAACCCACGTCGGCACCCTTCAAATTATTACCTCCAATGGCGGTTCTGGATGGAAAAGGGTGGCTATGGCGAGTCACTATCATTTTCACGGTTTAGGGAAGGAAAATAGAAAAGAGAACAATGCTGAATAAGGTTAGGCATACCTTTCGAAGCATAAACCGAGGTAGAAGAAAACCGATTGGAGAAGAGGAGCCACCACCGTGGATGGTGGCTTATTGAAGGGAGGACGACCCTACCCCTTATCAGTCACCGCAAACCGCCTCCGCCACTGTCGGAGGAAAACGGGAGAGGAACCGCGATTTGCTCCTCGGCACCGTCTTCTCACCTTCGCCGCCTCCATTCTCTCGTCTTCTCACTCTTTCTCTCCAAGCCTCTCAACCCTAAATGAGAGGGATCAGACTGAACCCCTCCCCCTTTTCCCAACATTTTGATCCCGTGTGGGCTTCGGCCCATGCTTTTATTTTATTTATTTTATGTTATTCCTTATGTATTTTTAGTTTCATTTACTGATTTATTTTTAATTTATTAAATGGTAATAGTAGTGAGGTAACTTATGTTTTTCTAACAAAAATCATACGTAATGATTTTCAAAAAGAGTTTGACAGTCCGGTCGATGGTCCGTGTCGTTTCTTCCTTTCCGCTTTAAAAGTGGAAAGTCGGTGCACGATCAGTGTTGTCTCTTTATTATCAACTCTAGTTTTATAAAAAAGTACTTCTAAAAATCTTTCGCTAAATTAAGTGTTCCTTAATAATTTTCAAAAAGAGTTTGATAGTCTGGTCGATGGCCCGTGTTGTTTCTTCCTTTCTTCTTTAAAAGTGGAAAGTCGGTGCACGATCAGTGTTATCTCTTTACTATTAATCCCTATTTCACAAAATTATATTATTATCTCTATGATGAGTGTCACAATTTTAATCGAACCAAATTTATCAAACAAATTTTATCAAACCAAACCAAACCAATTTATCAACTTTCGAACCAGAACTATGTAGCCTTGATTTCCCTATTGCACCTAGGGATACGTAGGAGCAAGACGAACTCTTGTCAGGCGCAACAATAAAAAATAGAACATTTTGTTTTTATTTACTGAGTTTTAATAAAAAACTTTTAAGGGTATAAAGTCCACGTTATTAGCGAGGATACCGTTTTAATATGGGCGGACGGGGTGCTAATACCTTCCCCGATCTGTAATCGACTCCCGAGCTCAAAATCTATGTTCAAAGACCAAATTGTCCTAATCGGGCATAATATAGAGTTTTCTACGTTTTAACCGTAAAAAACATAGTGGCGACTCCAAAACAATTGGAAGAGGTAGAAATCGAGTTCGTCTCTCCCCAAGTCGTAGGGTCGGTCTTCCAACCGAAAATCGGGTCGCGACACTGATTTACTGGCATATGAATTGCTTAAACAATGAAGTTTCAAATGTAGCTAGGAACGACATGCATGGATTAGAAATTAGATATCATACTTTTATCCAAGCTTGAAATTCCTTAGTGCACTTGTCTAATTGTGTGAAAAACATGTTCTTTGAATGTATGTCATGATAATTGATGTGTAAGTTCTACTTGAAAACCCAAACATGTTTTTGAAATCTCAGCTTGGACTCTTATTTTGGGACAAACAAGATTCTAAGTTGAGGAAAGTTGTTAAGTGTCAAATTGATGATCATATTTTATACACCCTTTTTTACGGCACTCTAACTACTTAATCAACTCAAATGAATAAAATTATACTAACAATGATTAAAACTTGTTTAATTGGTCAAATCTCATCTTTGGAGTGTAATATGGAGGAATAATTGCAAAAAGAGAAGTTCCAAGAATTCAGTCATTAGATGTCGGAGTAAAATCATGATAACTCCTTCGTTCATCGTTGGGTCGAGCTGAAATTATGATATGTTGTTCCAAAGTCATGAGGTTTAAATGTGAATGGTCGGATCGTCGAAATGAGCAAATCCCGCTGCATTGAGCGCAGGTTTTCACGCTGAGCGCAAACATCAGCTAAAATCAGCAATTGGCTATTGTTTGGTATGCGCTAAGCGCACCCACTTGTGCTGAGCATAATGGGTTGTGCGTTGAGCGCCCCATGGTGCACTCAACGCAAGTTGGTGTGTTGAAAGGTCGCCAAAAGCCAGCTCGATGTGCACTAAGCGCATATGAATGCACCATAGCACTATTTAAAGACTTCCAACTCGAACCAAATGACACAAACTTTATAATATTGATTTGTAATACTTATTTTCTAGGTTTCTAGGTTACTAGACATGGACCTGCTTTTGGTAAAGTTCTGGTATACACCAAGACATTGACGGCTAGCACAACTAAGGTGTTGCATTTGTACTTAACTTCCATTCTTGCATCACATGACATAGGGATATAATTATGTAAGTCATATTTATTATTCTTATGTATCAAAGCCACTAGACATAGGTTTTTCTTACATGAGTTGCTAAATTGACTCATTGTATGAAATAATTATAACTTAATAAATTGCTTTAAGAACCAGGTGTGTACAGATAGTAAGTGTGAAGTTCATCAAACAAACAAACCTTTTAAATCATAACTTAAAATAATAATTGTTAGTTGAAAGGTTAGTATCTAAGTACCTGTGGATATGACAACCCCTATACTTATTTGTGACAAGACTCTTGTTTACCGGTTAGGAGATAACTTTAATTATTATAATAGATATAGGTCCAAGACATAGAATAGAATAAAGACACGTTGTCCAAAATCATGACTTATATGTTGTCTTGTACCAATGAAAATATAATACATCAATTAAAAAATTTAAATCTTGATTTTATTATTATTTTTACTTCATTATTATTAATATAAAACAATATATGAGATATGATGTAGAATAATATACAGTTGTTTGGAAGGCATAAATTCCCAAAGACCCATTTTAACTTTTCCTTATCCATGTGGCCAATGAAATGTTAAGGTTTCATCTCAAAATCAATTGACAATGTGAGGTAGTCCAACAAGTGTTTAAACCATTCTCGAGATAATAAGGTAAACAATGTGAGACTTACTTCATAACGTGCCCCCTCGAATGGAATCTTTAGGTACATGTTTTCCTTTTAACTTATTTTTTGTCTGAACTTTGCAAAGGTACAAAAGCAAGAAGGGATTTAAAGCAATAAAACAAAAACCTTCACTTATTATCTACATCCATGCCTACTAATTTAAATTGAAATTGACCTTATCAAATAAATGCATAATAAAAACTAATTTGAAAGGATATATTATTATGGTGTTGATAAGAAGTTGAGTGGATAAACAAGAAGCATGTAGATCATCTCCACTATGCTACTCACTATATTTTGTTTTGTTATTCACTTACTTATTATATTTACATCAAAAAATCTTAGACTTTTTCTATTCTATTTCCCATAATATCTTACACCATATGTGAAAAACTTATTATATTGTACCAAACCAATCTAGTTTGAAAACAACTTCAATGCAAAAATAAATAATTATACCTTAAACTAGAGAATGTAGGATAAAAAAATAGTTAATAATTACTCGAATATAACTTAAGTAACACATTAAGTTTCCTTTTTTTTATTTTAAGAGCCTTAATCCAACAATTGCTTTATTTTATCTACAATGGTTTTACTTTCTTATCATCTTCTTTAATTATGAATTTCCAACACAATCAAGTAGTCATCATATATTATTTTATTTCTAATTACCATTTAAACTTTATCATTTGATGACATTAGTTTTTGAATAAAGATATTGTTAAATCACTAAGAGACAAAATGAAAACAACTACCATAAAACTCAAAGTAGTAGTAATATAACAGTGCACATTAGTTAGTAATGTAGAAGAAACTGTCGTCAAGAAGTCATTTTGATTAAGAAGAAGATGATAAGTAAATTTCAGAGATAAAAGTAGTTAATACATTAATATTTGTATATATAAAATAAATAAATAATATTGATCTAATATTTGAAGTTAAAAAAATGCACATGATAGAATTTTCATTGTTATGAATTTAACATTATATTTATAGAGAGATTAATTTCATTAATAGTTAAAGTTTAAGATGTAATTATGAGGAAAAAAAATAGTTCATGGTGGCTGCTTATAAAATTCATTAGGTTTAAATTGTTTTTATAGATTTTTTCCATGAATTAATAATAATGAATTTTTTTGATCATGCATTTTTTAATTTCAACTCTAATATCATCATTATTTAATTTTAAAATTTTTATATATTAATATTATTTTATTGTCACCTTTTAACTTTGGAATTTACTTATCATTTTATTTTTAATTAATTTTTATTTGACACTAGTTTCTCCCATCTATCAACGCTAAGTAACACGAGTTGGTGCATTGGTGGACCATTATTATTGTTGCTAGTCGGATGCCATCAATTTTCTTTATATAAGAATCAATTTCACTAACAAATAAAGTTTTAAGGATAATTAGGAAGATAAAATATTGTATATGCTTACGTGCAAAAGGCATACCATTTATGAAGATTCTATGTATTTGTCCCTTAGAAAAATAAAGAAATTGTCCCATAGAGAGCCTCCAACCAATACGAAAACCCATTGTTATTAGGCAATGAGAATGAAAACTCACTTAGGATGGCAACAGGGTCAGGCAGGCATGAGTACTGCATACATGTACCTATATTCACACTATTTGTGGGTGCCCGTGCGGGTAGTGGGCATTTTGCGGATAACCAATGTGTTTTCAATTTTATTTATATTTTTATATATTTTACAATAATTAATATATAAAAATAATTATTACTTAAATAAAATGATAATTTTATGATTATAATCACATTATTAAATTTTATTATAAAATAATAATAAAATAAATAAATATAACATTAAAATAATAATAATTAAGTATAAAATATTTAATTAAAATATATATGCGGTACCCATAGGGCGAGTATCATGATACACATTATTCATAAGCAATTTTTATGGATACACATTGTGAATGTTTTGACGGATATTCACGAGTCGGATATTTTTATCATCCCTAAAACTCACTTATAAATGAGAGAGTATATCTTGAACTAAAACTAATGAGAGCAATTCTATCAGCATTGATCACTTAACCCTCTTCCTCACATTAGTTCACTTGAAATATTCCACAAAAAGAAGTACTTCAAAAAATCTACTATCTTAATAAGAATAAAAGGGACTGATGTAATTACAGCAATAGACATTCTAAATTACTGACACTTGGCATTTTAAGGGTTAAATTTGTCTTTACCAATTTTTGCATTAATTTTTCATACCCCTCTATCTCTCCATTCTCATTCTAAACGTTTCATTCTCTTTTTTTCATTCATTTTTCTTACTCTCTCCACTTCCATTGTTGACATTTGTCTCCAGTTTTTTTTCTTCCTCAAACGTCTTTCTTCATC